TAAGTCTGCGCAAAATAGAGAATAATGTTGCTTTAAAAGTTTTTGATTCAACGATAATACAAACTTTTTTCGAGTTTATAAAACAAATGGTTCTAATTTCCTTCTCAGTGATAAGCTATTTATAAAAAATTTTTGGTAAAACACTTCACCTGCTATCATATAAAGGCTGTTTTTTAAATGGTAATCAGTTTTGAACCTTTTGAAAAACAACTATAACTTTGCCAAATAGCAGTAATCAATTAATTTTTTTAAAACAATTGGATGTATTATTGAAGAAACGTTGATAATTTTCGGAATAAACTCATTATAGTGAAGATAGCTCAATTGTTGCAAATCTAGGAATATATTCAATCGTTTAAAATGCCTATTTTATAAGTGTTGAAATAAACAATTTGAATTGATAATTAAAAAACGTTGCAGCGAAGTAGAAGTGGTTTTTCTCAATGGATGATTGATGTTGACAAGGAAAGCAGCGGTTTGTATAATTTTGCAACATTCTGAGCTCATAATACAATAATTGTATGAAAATAAAAATCAAAAAAAATTCTCAATTATTTGTACTCAAGAATTTTTCATTTACAAATCTGTAAACCTAAACTGCACAGTTATGATAGGTATATACAAACTTAGTGTGATAATCAGACAGTTAGCTGTTAGACAAAAATATTTGTTCGGAAATAATGTCTGAAGTGATGTAGCCGTCTAAACTATTGCCAACTTTTGTATCATTTACGTCAGAGATTCGCTCTACACTCTTGGAATTCAAGTAATAATAATTTTCTAAATAATTGTTGTAAAACAGCTATTAAAAAATGTCATCATTGCTCGAGCTTTTGAACTGTCTTTAAATACTTTATAATATTTTCATTTTTACCTTAAATTGAACGTTAAAATTAAATTAAAATTAAAATTGAACGTCTTTAGTATTTTAAAAGTTTATTTACTATCTTTAATTAAAGAATTGTTACCTGAGAATAGTTTTCAAAATATGCCTATTTTGTTTTTATACTCTTCCGAACGCTTACTAAAATAATGTTTTTTTTTTTTT